GAGTCATGACTTTTATGCATATTACATGACCTTTCATTAGAAAAATTAAAAATAGCTACTGTAGACCATTTGCTTAATAGATAATTTTATACTATAAAGTTGGAAATGCTGTTTTTTTGCTTTGGGGTTGAAGTTAAGTGTTCTTTAAATAGTAAAGAAAAAGTTATTAAAACAGACAATCTCAATGATGGGTGAGCCCTTTGCTCACATTTTTTTTTTTTTTTTTTGAGATGGAGTCTTGCTCTTGTCACCCAGGCTGGGGTGCAATGGCACAATCTTGGATTACTGCAACCTTTGCTTCTCGGGTTCAAGCGATTCTCTTGCCTCAGCCTCCAGAGTAGCTAGGGTTATAGGCGCCCACGACCACACCTGGCTAATTTTTGTATTTTTAGTAGAGACAGGGTTTTGCCACATTGACCAGGCTGGTCTCAAACTCCTGATCTCGTGATCTGCCCGCTTCGGCCTCCCAAAGTGCTGGGATTACAGTATGAGCCACCTTACCTGGCCTCCTCGCACTTTTTTTTTAACCAATCAGTACAATATATAGCCTTGTTTTAAGTGTATTTCCGTTTAAGACATCTTATTTAATGCATATTGTTGACTGATTAGCATTGAACGCACAGCCAGCAGAACCATAACTCATGCCTGAAAGAAGCCTATCTAACACGTATTTTTTCCATAGGGCACATCACAGTCTCCTTGCACTTTGGAACAATCGATAACACTTCAGCACTATGCCTGGGGGACATTTTTGAACATGGAAATCACCAAAAACAGAAGAAAAATATAAAAAATATGGCATTACATATATTGTGAAAAAGACACTGTTTACAGTATGAGAGCTGAATCAAGAAGGCAGCAAGTCACCTTGTTCAAATTCAGCTGTAAATATGCATGTTGGGTGACTCAAATTCCTTGCTGCTATGCGTGTGTTGGTGAATGACTGCAATAGTGTCACAAGTACAGATTTTGAGATTACAAATAAATTTAGCAAATAGAAAATTCATAAATTATGAGGATCAACTGCACTAATGTTTTACCTAGAATATTCTTCTTTCTGTAGAATTCAGCCAGCCAACTCCTATTTGCCCTTCAGGACTCAGTTCAAGATCTCTGGGAAACCTCACTTGGCTCCAGTCTAGGTGAGATACATACTTAAAAATGTCCTCACAATACTCATTTGGATCTATTTCTTATTGCTTCTCAGGCTGCTTTACAATTGTTTACTTTTCTATTTCCTCCATTTGATTATAAGATCCTTGAAGGAACTGGGGGCAGTGGCTCACATGTACAATACCAGCACTTTGGGAGGCTAAGGTGGGAGGATCACTTGATCCTAGGCGTTCACAACCAGCCTGGGAAATATAGTGAGACCCTGTCTCTACAAAAAGAAAAAAAGAAAAAGAAAAAACTTAGCCAGACGTGGTGGTGCATGCTTGTAGTCCTAGCTACTTGGTAGACTGAGGTGGGAGGATCACTTGAGCCCAGGAGGTTGAGGCTGCAGAGAGCTGTGACTGTGTCACTGCATCCCAGTCTGGGTGACAGAGTGAGACCCTGTCTCAAATAAAAGAAAAAAAAAAGGTCAGAGGGAGCCTGTTTGCCTATTCTGTTTTGCCATGTAAGGACAACATAGCAAGAAAGTTGTCACGTATGAAGTAATAAACCTTCACCAGACACCAAATCTGCTGGTGCCTTATCTTGGACTTCCCAGCCTCTGTTGTTTTTAAGTTATGTAGTCTAAGATATTTTGTTATGGCAGCCTGAATGGATTGAGACAGAAGCCAAAGTCTAGCTCCATGAAAGCAGCTTGGTAAATGTTTGTTGAATAATGGTCTTCAAGGAAGTAGGAGGAGACTCCCTAAAACAGTCAAGAGGGAATGAGTATAAAATCAGAGGTTTCATGAATAAAACAGAAAAGTAAATTAGATTTCAACTACTAATTCTTTTTCAAGAAAAATTTTAACTTTTTTCAAACTGATGGCTTTTTTTTTTCAGATTATATTAACTTCAACTTACATTGTGATAAGAACAGTTCTTGTTAAGTGATATAATACATTTTCTTATTGTTTGAGCCACTTTGAATTGCTTCTAAAATAACTGCCACTAAAAGCATCTTAACTGACAGTAATGTTTACAGATAGAAACATGGTTAAATATTACTTTTATTTTCATACCTACTTTGGTTTAGGACAGATGCCTCTGACTTGAACAGACCATCAGAAATGTGTAACATTAATTTTAGAAAACCACTCAGACAGAGAGTGCTGGGCTCCCTTAGGAAACAACACAAATCTCTGCTTTCCCATCACCCATGCTTCTGGGCCCGCACTCTCAGAGAAGTTCTCTGTTATCAGGCTGGCTTCATAAGTCAGTTCCAGCATCCTTGAAGGTATATTGATGCTGAAACGGAAAGGGTTTCAGTGTAATCTCTCCCGGTTTCATAGATAAAGGCCTAGGATTGAAGTAAACTTTCTATTTATAGCAGGTCCTTGAATAATGTTTTGTTCAATATCATTTGGTTACAACATTGATTAGAAAAAAATTTGACTCTTGGCTAGGGTCACTGTTTGCATGTTCTCCCCATGTTGGCCGGGGTTTTCTCCAGGTACTCCCATGTCACAAAGCTGCACATGTTAGGTTAGATGGCATGTATAAATAGTCCCAGTCTGAGTGTGTGCGTGTGTATGAGTAAGCCCTGTGATGGGAGGGCGTCCTGTCCAGGGTTGGTTCTCGCTTTGCACCCTAAGCTGCCAGGATAGGCTCTGGTCACTTATGATCCGACCCTACACTGAAAAAAAAAAGGGTAAATAATTACTTAACTTGCTTGTATTAATCTTTTGTAAATGTATGTATAGCTTACATTTATTTCAATGTTGAATATTAGAAGTGTTTTGGTCTTCTAGAAGTTTAGTGATTTTTTTTTTTTTGGGTGACCAGAAATGTGCCCTAGTAATTTAATTCTTTTTTGTTTGTTTGAGAAAGGGTCTTGCTCTGTTCCCCATGCTAGAGTGCACTGACATGATCATAGCTCACTGCTGCTTCAAACTCCAAGGCTCAAGCAATCCTCCTGCTTCAGACTCCTGAGTTGCTGGAACTAAAGGTGTATGCCATCATGCCCAGCTAATTACTTTATTTTTTGCAGAGACAGGGTCTTGCTTTGTTGCCCATGCTGATCTGGAACTCCTGAAATCAAGGGATCCTCCCATCTTGAGCTCCCAAAGTGCTGGAATTACAGGTGCGAGCCACCACACCTGGCCTTAACTCTTGTTTATATTAATTAGCCTATGATAAAACTTGTTTCATTATATGCCATTTACTTAAAGTCACAGTTTCCAAAAACATAGCAATGACATTGAGATTTACTGTATCTGCCTTCTCAGGTGCTTCTTGAATTAAAAATAATGGCAGGCCAAGAATGAAATGATTCTTTTGTGTCTAGCTTCCTGGTTAAAGAGAAGTCAGAAACCAACATAGGTACCAAAGATTTGAAAATCGATGTGTGTTCTCCCACCATGTACCAATATCCCTTTTGACTCTTCCTATAATGTCAATTTAAAAGAATGAGATGAAAAATAGATAGTTGACTTTGCTTTTTCATGCTCAACAGTATCACCTTCCTCTCAGAATGGTAAACTGCATGACTGGCTACTTATATGGAATCCCCAGTTTGCCCTAGGAGAGATGCTAACTGTCTTTCAGTGCTTCAGTGTGGTCTACTTTCACCTGATGTAATTTGCTGTGTGACTGTAGGCAAGGCCGATTTCTCCTATCCATTTTGCAAAAAAAAAGGGTGAATACCTGCTTTTCTCCAATTACAGAGAGTCCAAGCATAAAGGATAGACAGTAAATACTAGGGGCTATAACTCATCAATTATTTCATGAATAACTCTGAAAAATTAAATAGAACGGAATGGAAAGTAGCATAAGGCACCATACATATTAAGGGTGAGCTACTGTTTCAGAAACATTAATTTCAGTTACAAATAGGTATGTATATGTTTATTATGTAATGATGTGAAACATTTTATACTGTGGGTTCCAGGCAAAAGTTTGGAAGCCACTGCCCCACACTATTTATCATTGGTCTTAAGTGCTGAACTGCCCCACTCCTGGACCATTGCTGAAAGGTGTTGCTTCAGATATATCTGCAAGCACTTTCTTCTAGCACAGTGCTCCTTTTCACTACTGGCTGATTCTGAACTGTGTGATTCTACTCTGAAAAAGACAACACCTTCTTAGCCCCAAGAAAGATAATATCTATTTTTAAGCACTTTGCACGTGTATCATTCATCTGGTACTTGACTTTTCTATGCAGATACATTTCCTAACTAAACTAGAAAAACTAGGGACGGGGCTATAGTTATTCTGTGACAAACATGGTATCCTTATACATATAAGATGCTTGATCAACATCCTTAGAATAAGCCCTTTTCTCTGGCAGAGTCCCACTTCTGGAATCAATGCCTACTGAACTCTGGTCAATTTAGGGGCTGGAAAAGTGTATGCTCTACCTATGCTTATTTGACTGACTAAGGCATTTCACCAACTCCACTAGCTGTTCCTAAGTTATTCTTAGAATGACTATTGTTGATGATTTCCAGATTCTGTAAACACATTAGCTAATCATGAGTTTACAATTAGCTAATAAAAATGGGCTATCCACTTTTCTTGGGGGTTAGATGATACTCCTTTTCTACTTGACACTTACAGAACTCTGTAGGAAAAGGTAACTCAAGAAACTTCCAACTCTCTCTCAAATGCTGTATTTAGTAGAACTATTTTCTTTTGCCGAAAGGATTAACATTTTAAATATTTGATAAATGCATAACTATTTTACCTGACTTTAACATGTTGGGATTACAGTACGCCAAAGCCCATTTCAATAAGTAAAACAATCTGAAGTGAATTCCCTATACCTACAATTCCCTATATCCTATTCACATTAAACAACCAAACAAACATTCACAGCTTACACAGAAATAAAATCAAACTTTTACTACCTGCTTATTCATTTCTGTGATGTTTATCCAGACTTTGTTCAAACCCATCTCTCCAGATTCAATCTTCTCAAGTTGTTTTTGCTTGCTGAGTAGTTCTTCATTAAGTTTAGGGATTTCTTGGAATGAGCTTTTCTGATTAGATTCCACTGAAAAGACAAAATAAGACCAATCATAAATAGCATAAAGTTCCCTCATGGTCCTAAGATGAAAAAATGATCAAACAGTAGGAAAGATGGATTAATAAAAGTTAATTCTGACATTGTTCTTTTGTTTATGTAAATACGTACTTTTCACGCTAAAGCTCCATTTTAACTGGGGCTATTTCACTATTGGCATTGCAACTTTTAAAAGCTAGCCAACTAAAAATTATGACAGAATGTGAGCACAAAGAGTTGGCTTTGAGTCTCAACTCTGTGACTTGCTAACTCTCATCTTGAGCAAATTACTCAAATTCTTAGAGCTCAGTTTCCTCATCTGTAATACAGTGATAAAATATAGTTCACAGGGAGAAACAGGAACACTTTTACACTGTTGGTGGGAGTGTAAATTAGTTCAACCATGTGGAAGACAGTGTGGTGATTCCTTAAGGATCTAGAAATAGAAATACCATTTGACCCAGCAATCCCATTAATGGGTATATACTCAAAGGATTATAAATCATTCTATTATAAAGACACATGTACATGTTATGTTCATTATGGTACTGTTTACAATAGCAAAGACCTGAAACCAACCTAAATGCCCATCAATGATAGACTGGATAAAGAAAATGTGGCACATATACCACATGGAATACTATGCAGCCATAAAAAAGGATGAATTCATGTACTTTGCAGGCACACAGATGAATCTGGAAACCATCATTCTCAGTAAACTGACACAAGAACAGAAAACCAAACACCACATGTTCTCACTCACAGGTGAGTGTTAACAATGAGAACACATGGACACAGAGAGGGGAACATCACACACTAGGGTCTATAGGAGGGTGGGGGGTTAGAGGAGAGATAGCAGGGAGTGAGGAGATTGGGGAGGGATAACACTGGGAGAAATACCTAATGTAAGTGACAGGGGGACGGAGGCAGCAAACGACCATGGCATGTGTATACCTATGTAACAATCCTGCAAGATCTGCACATGTACCCCAGAACTTAAAGTATAACAAAAAATATATACATAAACTAAACTAAAAAAATATACTTCACAAGATTGTTAATATTAAGTGAGAAAATGGCTGTAAAGCATTTAACACAGCTGGTCAGGCATATAATAAATGAGAAATCCTAGGTCCTGACCAACTCAATTAAGAAGATTTTAAATTAGTCAATTAAGATTTATAAACCTTACTCCATTAATGCTCAAGGTGAGATTATAAGTTATATATCTAAATGCTTAAGGGGGCAGTCTTACCATCTTTCAAACGCTGTTATGAGAACTAAGATTTTTAATCTTTTTCATAAATAGTAAACAGTATTTTCTTAAGTCTTAAACCACCCCAAAACTCAAAATGAAATCGAAGATAAAAGAATATGCTGGGTGAAGTATAGTGTGATATTTGGCCTTTCTTTTGGGAAACAACAGCTCCTGAATGGTTTAGGGATTTGCCAGCCAAAAGGTAGAGGCCTGAAAGAATCCTTTCTCTTCTTTCTTTAAAGAGCATTTTTCCTTTTCATAGAAAATAAAATATTAATAATGGCTGGTCCTCCAGAATAAAACCTACATCTTTTTTTTTTTTTTTTTTTTTTAAGCCACAGACTGCCTGGTTAGTTATTATATGCTTCCTTAAAACGAAAAACTGGCATAAAAGACCCATATAAAATAACCTCCTAAAAACGTAAGCTCCATGACTGTTTTGTTCACTTCCACACAGTCAGCACTTAGAATACTCCTGACACATTTTAAGTACTTAATAAATATTTATCACCTGAATAAATATTTGGCCTTTGCTTAACTTCCAATTACATTCCCTACACTTCACCTACCTCTTCAACCTACTTGTGGCCAAGCTGATCTTCCTGACACACTAACCTTTTAAGCCTCATGACCCTTGCACCGCTATGGTTTCTGCCTAGATGCCCTTGGCTTGTCTCTTCTTTATTTCTACCACTTTGGCCTAGTTAATTCCTTTTAAGATTCAGTGCCAACAGCCAGGACCCTTAGACCACTGCACCTCTTTACTACTCCAAATTCTACCATGCACTTAACACATGGTGCTGTAACTCTACTCATCTGCTGTAACTTTACTCATCTATCTCCTCTATCAAATGCGGAGATGCTTGAGGACAAAGACTAGATCTAACTTGGGTATGTATTTCCAGCAGCCAGCACAGAGCCAGGTACACAGCAGGGTTCAAATGATTGTTCTGTGAAATAACTGTAGGGCATGAAATGGAGTTAATGTTATACTATTAAACGCAAAACCCCTCAACAAATAAAAAACCGAAACACATTTAACAATTAAAATCCCCCACAAAATGAGCAGTGTTGGTGGTATCCTTATTTTAAGCAAGCTCACTATTGAAAATTCAGAATTAAGAGAGATATATTTATTCATTTTTCAAAAATGCTTGCCAAAGGATTTCATTATAATGACAGGTTTTCTAGGTGCTTTAACATTAAAAAAAACCTGATATATGTTAATTGTACATATTTACAGGGTACCTAGCGATGTTTCCATACATATAATGTATAGCAATCACAGTGATTAGTGTATCCAGCATCTCAAACATTTATCATTTCTTTGTGTCAAAAATATTTGATATCCTCCTTACAGCTATTTGCAACTACCTCTTATTAACTCTAGCCATGCTACAGTGGTACATAACACTAGAACTTATTCCTCCTAACAGGCTGTAATTTTGCATCCTTTAGCAAATCTCTCCCTATCCCTTCTTCCCCTACTCTTCTCAGCCTCTAGTATCCTCTTTGTGTTTTTACTTCCATAAAATCAAATTTTTAAAAAATTTATTTTTATTTTGTTTAGACATGAGGTCTCTCTCTGTTACCCAGGCTGGAGGGCAGTGGCATGATCACAGCTCACTGCAGCTTCAAACTCCCAGGCTCAAGTGATCATTCTGCCTCAGCCTCTTGCATGGCTGGGACTACAAGCATGCACCACACCCAGCTATTTTAAATTTTTTTAGAGATGGTGGTTTGCTACGCTTCCCTGGGCTGGTCTCAAACCCCTGAGCTCAAATGATCCTTCCGCCTCTGCCTCTTAGTTGTTGGGATTACAGGCATGAGTTACCATAGCTAGCAAAATAAACTTTTGTTATCTTCCACATATGAGTGAGAACATGCAGTGTTTAGCTTTCTGTTCGCAGCTCATTTCACTTAACAATGTCTTTCAGTTCCATCCATATTACAAAGAATGACAGGATTTCATTCTTTTTTATGGCTGAATAGTATTCCACAGCATATATATACTACATTTTCTTTATCCATCTGCTCTTGGACGCCTAGGTTGATTCCATAGCTTGGCTATTGTGAATAATGCTGTAATAAACATGGGGGTGTGAATGTCTCTTCCACATACGGATTTCCTTTTGCCCAGTAGTTTCCTAGGTGCTTTAAATGCAGCACTTAATTTACACATGGTTTACAGGAATATATCTATCTCATACAGTAAAAACATTTTACCAGCCAGTCTAAATTAATTAATTTCCCTGAATTTCCTATACATTTTCAATTAGGTTATAAAGAAAAACTCATCCAACAAACATCTGCCATACTCAGGTACCTCAAAGGAACAAGGGGCAAAGCCTCTCTTTTCTGCAGTCTATATGCATGAACTAGGAAGTAGGAGTGGAAGAGGAAATAGACAAATACATAAATAACCTGGATTATAATGATTAACTAAAAAACATATAAAACTGACCAGCCCTGAAAATATTCTGGATCCTCAGGACTGTATGAGCCAAGAGGGGATCACAATGATTATCTCATCTGGAGCTTTTTAGGAGAGATACTTTAAGAATTGGTACTTCTATTACATAAATGGGAGGAAGTGTAGCAAACTACAACTTATGATTACTAATTCATGTTTTTCCAACATAGGAAGCAATAATTTAAAATTTCGTATGTTAATGACCAAAAGAATGTACTTAGTTCTTTCGATTTCCTAATCTTTAAGATGAGGAAATGGAAAAATGTCAACATATACCACCAGTCAAATAGTACACACAATGCTGACAGCAATATTTTATATTTACACAATGTCTTTTCAGTTTGCAATAAACTATTATGTATTAATTATTCAACAACTTGTTATTAAGCCCCTACCATGTGCCCAAACCTGCATGGGCACAAGTATATACAAAAGACCCTGAAGGTCTTAGTCTAGTGGGGAGCCAGGCATGGTCACAGAATTACTATACGGTGTGACTGATGTTACGACAGAGGAATGCCCAAAGTGCTTTGGTAGCACAAATATATCTTTATATTTTACAGATGAGAAAATGAATGCTCAAAAAGAATAAGTGACTTGTCTAAGTTTTACAGCCAGTTTTGCAAAGCCAGAATTCAAAAAGTCGAACCCTCTGTTCCTAGGACCAGTACTTTTCCTAGTATACTTTAGAGGTCACAGATAACTACATCCCCTAATGCCCTCATTAGCACAAGACCATTTTTAAGTTCTCTGCCAAATGATCAAGTCACTACTTTGTCTGTATGGCCAGAAAAGGAGGTACCTGATTTATTTATACTGTCCAAATTTATTTACACTCTTCCAAATTTCCTTTCATTTACTCAAGTGTTTCATAGCTGAGTGACAGAAAAGGATGGTTGAGAGTAGAATCTTCCTTAGAATAACTGTGGAGGTCTTTTGAAGTATCTGGTTTTGGAAAAAAGAATACTGAACTAAGAGTTTCAGGGCCAGTCAGTACTTTTAGCTTAACTATCAAGTTTATCTTTGAAAAAAATGCCAAGCCTATCTGCTTTGCTTTCTATTTCAGATATTTTAGCAATCCTTTGTCCTTTCCTTGCAAGTGTTTTGGAAAATTTATTGAAATAAAATCAAACGGTTCTAGATTTCTCAAGAAGGTATTAAAGCCAGACAAGCAGGTGGTCTTATCCAAGTTCGTGAATCCCACTGTCTTCTTGAAAAACAAATAAAAATTTAAAAAATACATTTAGGCAGGGTGTGGTGGTTCATGCCTGTAATCCCAGCACTTCGGGAGGTCGAGACAAATGAATCACCTGAGGTCAGGAGTTTGAGACCAGCCTGGCCAACAAGGTGAAACTCCATCTCTATTTTTAAAAATACAAAAAATTAGCTGGGCGTGGTGGCACATGCCTGTAGTCCCAGCTACTCAGGAGGCTGAGGCAGGAGAGTCACTTGAACCTGGGAGGTGGAGGTTGCAGTGGGCTGAGATTGTGCCATTGCACTCCTCCTGGGCAACAAGAGCAAAACTCCATCTTAAAAAAAAAAAAAATACTAAGAAGATTGGTTCCATTTAGTCAAGATATTGGTTCTCACAAACAAAACAAAACAAAACAAACTTCTGAGAAAGTAGTCTACAATGGTTTAGCCTATGGACTAACTATTCCAGGCCCCATCCCCTACCCTCCCTTAGGAAGTCTTGCTTTGCAGTGTCAGGAAGACATTGCAGGTGCTGGCATTTCTACTGGAGCAAATCAAAGCCAACAAAACAGTTGGGCTGACAATTTCAAATCTGCTTCATTTAGCTGGCTGACAAATGTAGTCAGGGTCCCAGGGGAATGTGGCTCAGTGGTAGAAAGCAGGGTCTGCAGTCCAGGGTATAATTCTTGACATCTCCTGAAGACAGTATAGTATTTCCAGGGATTGGTATTAACAAGTGTTAAATAAATATTTGTTGACTGATTGCCAGGTCTATTACATGTATGAGTACTACATTTTTAAAAGGTAGTACTTTGTTTGCATTCCCAAAGAAATTACCTGAAAAGCTCAGCTAAGGTATAAATTACATAGGTATCCTATAAACATGGGTGCAGACGAGTCAGAAAAAGGAATATCAAGATATTGTACATATCAAGAAAGAAAGAAATGCAGAATTTGATATGCTATAAGGTTGTTTCTTCCAGATATATACATTATATTGATGGTTGTTTGATAAGAATTATAAGTATTCTGTATTAGATTTTGCAATATATATAATTCTATTGCTTACAGGTAAGGAGCAAAAGCCCAACTATTCAAATGGTCATATATTTTTTTCTGGAAAATAATATATTATTTTTTAAAAGTTGAGAGTGGAACAGCTGACTCTTAAAAGCCTTACTTTATTTCATTTTTTTTTAGACGGAGTCTTTCCCTGTCGCCACACTGGAGTGTAGTTGCGCAATCTTGGCTTGCCGCAACCTTTGCCTCCTGGGTTCAAGAGATTCCCCTGCCTCAGCCTCACGAGTAGCTGGGACTACAGGCATGCACCACCATGCCCAGCTAAATTTTGAATGGCTGAATTGAGCAATGTTTTGAAATATATAAATAAATAATTGCTATATGTGATCAAAACAAGCTACAGCACAAGCCTATAGCTAACTACAAGCCTAACTAACTAGAAGGCTGTAGTTAAGAGACCCAATTAACTACAAAGAGACGACAGCACAGACAGGTGTCTTCAGTGGTTATTTATAAATACTGTTTCTGAGAACCTAATTTCCAAGTTATGATTACTACTTATACACACAGAAAAAATTGGCCTTAAAGACACTATGCAATACTGCGAGGACAACTATAAAGGAGGAAAAATAACTATGGGGTACATTTCTTATACCATACTTTGAAAATTGGTAATCCAGGCTAGGATTCTGGCAGAGAATTGTGACATACTGAATTCCATCTCCAGAATCAGAAACACAGAAGAAAGCCAACGTTAGTATTTTAATATATTTTTTTTAAAGCAACATCTCTAGAAACATCATTAATACACTAAAGATTAGCTGTTCTTAGGTTGGGTTCAAAACTTGAGTAACCGTAGGCAGCCAAGAGAAGCTGAGATATTGTAATCTTCTAAGCTTCAGATGGCAAAGTGAGGATATTGTAAACTTCTAGTCTTAAGATGGGAAGAACTTAAATTCCAGTTCTGGAGCCAGATTTCTTTATGACCTTCAGAAAACCTTGTGGTCAGTTTCCTGGTATGCTCATGCTATTAAGGTTAGGGTATTTGTGATTAAGTTGAAACTGGTTCCTTTGCTTAGAAGATTAACCCTTGAAACCTAGAGCCAAAAATTTCAGTGTTGCTACAAAAAAAAAAAAAAATTATATTAAATCTGGTCGGAGCTATTATGCAAACACAACTTTTGGAAAAAGTAATTTGGGTGGAGCACAGTGGCTCACACTTGTAATCCCAGCACTTTGGGAGGCTGAGGCAGGCAGATCACTTGAGCCTAGGAGTTCGAGACCAGCCTGGGCAACATAGTGAAACCCTGTCTTCTACAAACATACAAAAATTAGCAGAGTGTGGTGCATGTCTATAGTTTCAGCTACTGGGGTTGGGGGTGGGAGTGTGGGGTGCTGACATGGGAGGACTGCTTGAGCCCATGAGGTCAAGGCTGCAATAAGCCAGATGCCACCGCACTCCGGCTTGGGGGACAGAGCGAGACCCTATCTCAAAAACGACGACAACAACAACAACAACAAAAACGAAACGAAAACGTAATTTGGATGTGTAAAATACAACTTTACAATTTAGAATATACAAAACTCTGTGACTTGAAAAGCTCCTTTAACTGTAAAACTCACTCAGTTGCATAGTGTTCAAGGTAGATATGGTTGTTGTAAGCCCTTCATAGATATGTAACTTATTTCAAAGAATCACAAAGGTTTCCTGAGACTTTAAAATGATAACATTCATTAATGGTATGTCAATGTTTTTTTCTTGAAACAGACCATGTTACTAGTATAAGCACAGCTAAGGAGAGAAATCTATCAGTCCTTGGTCTAAGCTTGAAAACTGATAAGTATGCAGAAAGCCAGTTCTTCCTGTTTCTTCTACGAAACTTCTTTTAGATTACTCACCAAGTTGATATCAAAGAGATCTGAAGGCACTTGAAGAAACGTGTGTAGGTTTACAAAGCCACTGGGAACAGTGGTGCACATAGTAGTGTTATAAATGTGAACTTGGGTAGCAAGGGTCAAGAGGAAGCTCAGCTCTGTCAAACTTAATCACTGAACAAATTACTTAATCCTTCTAAAAGCATAAAATAATAAAAATAATACTCATCTCACAGGATTATCTTGGAAAGAAAATGATTTGAAACTTGGCAAACAGTAGGCCTTACATAAATGTTAGCTATTCTTATTATTGCCCATTCCTATGCTCCTATTTGGTTTTTCTAAAGAGGTAACTGTTTGACAGATGCTCCCACATTCTTTCTCAAACAGCCCTGTGAAGTGGAAGGAATAGCCCAGTGCTGTCATTGCCAGTTTATACGTGGGGAGATGGAAGCTATAAGTAGAGGTTACCTAACCTAAGGGTAGGAGTCTCTTGCCTTCTGCACTCTAAGCATTGACTGCAATGCCATTATTTCAGATGCTACTTGGCCTGCTGGTGCACAAGCACTGTCTTTTGTTTGTGAGTTTAAAAACAAATAAGTGTTACAACGTTCAAGCAGACAGCTCAGAAAGAGGTAAGAATATGGAGAGTAATGTATAACTGTTTCACTAGAATGGGTGAAACTCTTAGGTTAGCACAGTTGACTCTGTCCCAGAACCTGGAGAGAAGTCCAAGATTACACTCTGAAAAGAGTGACCACAGCTGGGTGCAGTGGCTCATGCCTGTAATCCTAGCTACTTGGAAGGCTGAGGCACAAGAATTGCTTGAACCCAGGAGACAGAGGTTGCAGTGAGCTGGGATCACATGACTCCATCCCAGCCTGGGTGACAGAGTGAGACCCTGTCTTAAAAAAAAAAAAAAAAAGAGTGATCACTTACTTGTTCGAAATTTTTCCTTGAGGGCATCCAGATCCTCCTTGAGAGCAACCTGCATCCACACCAAGCCAACACAGGCCACAACACAGGCAGCGAGGATGACAAAACCACAGAGCGGGTAACAGATCTTGCAGCATCGTAAATAGTCTCCCCTGCTCAAAAGGACAAATTCAACCATGAGTACAAAAGTGATTATGAGTATGGCTTTATTAGAAATAGTATACGTGTTTTGCCATGCAATTATCTCCTCTAAATGAATAACCAGTTAATTAACCAGGGGAGGCAGGGTAATGCACTTAAATGAATAAATAATATGACCTATGAAGGGTCCATCTACTGGGCACAAAGGTTTCAAACGTCACATAAAACAGAGGGAGTTCCTGTGGGTAAAAGGAAGAACCTAAGGGCACTACAGCTGTCATTATCAGCAGGGAGGTCTTTGAATACAAGCTCAGGTCACAAAAGTGTAAAGACCAAGGTTTCTCTGCAATTCCATCACTGCACTGTAATTTACCTATTGATTTTTCTCTCTCAAATACTCACTCACTCACTCTGGGGAACCTTGTTTCAGTTTATTGAAACTTTATAAACCTTTAAGCAAGTTTTACTGTAAAAGAAATGAAAGAGGGATCTGTAGCTTTAAGTGGACACCTGGTGTATTCTAGCTTATTGGCTCAGAAGTAAGGAAACACAGAAGGGGCTAGATTTCATACAAAACATCAACCAACCTTCAAGGTCTAAACTAACTTAGCAGGGTAAGTACTCCTGGTACCTTCTGATTAAGGTAACACTTCATCATACCTTCATAACCCAAACCCAGGATTGCCCTTAACAACCTAAGCCCACAAAGCTCATTAGAAATCAAGCTCTTCCTTTAACAAAATAAGAAACATTTTAAACACTCAATGTCAGCACCCAACCTTCTGCCTAACCCTTCTTTCCACATCCTCACCAGAATCCTCTTTTCTTTTAGTGTGCTCTGCGAGGGTCCAAGGGCATTTTTAAAGTTCCCTTTAGTCCTTCCCCACTCTGAGCCCCAATCCCAAAGTCCTCAAATCTTACTACTTGATTTGTCTAGTGGAAAATCAAGCCGTTCTCCACCTATGAACGGCTGGGGAAAATGATGCCTCTTCTTTTGCCTCCCCATCCACTCTCAAGGCTCATACTTCCTACTGTATATCCCTCTCCATATTTCACCATCACCAATATTCAGACTCATTGAAAGTACAAAAATGAAATAATTTGCAGTCTTAAAGTCCCTGCTTCTCCTTTGCTCTACATTGTTTTAAAAGGTCTAGTCCCCAAAGCTTCTCTGCTCCTCTGTCTCCATTCTTTGCTTCTTTAGGGCTCCCTGGGCTCTCGGCACATTCTCCAAGTCCACATTTCCACTTCAGATTTGGAGCTTTTCTTTCTACACCTAAAGGCAGATCTCTAACTTATTCTTCATTCAGGATCTGAACTTACCTTCTCCGTAAAACCATTTTTCCCTCTTTGACTTCCAAAGCCTACACTCTTTTTTTTTTTTTTCTAAGGACTTCCTTTCTCCTTCTTGTCAATGTGACCCATTGGTTGTGCAAAGAGATGCCTTCTCCCCATTCCACCTTTCACCACTACTCACTTGGCAAAGCGAGAGCGATTTCCAACCACACCGAATTCCTCTTCCTCCTCGGAGCTTGACTCAGAGTCTGAGTCAGGAGGCTCAGTGCGAAGCAGGCGGTGACTGCTTGGCCCTTTCTTGGGCTTCTTTCTCCGGCTGTCCCCAGCCAAACCAATCAATGCATTGAGCTCTTTGCGCTTTTTCATCTTCTTGTGTGGAGTGAGTGGAGCCCCGACTCCTGAGCTGCCAGGTTCGTACCCGACGCCCAATTCCCTTCCTGCCTTGGAGCTGCCTTCCAGGGTTGGGAATCCTGGGCCAGAGCCCCCTGGTCACTCCCACCTAGGGGTGGAACTGACCAGATCCGCCAGGGACTGGAGATTGGAGCCCAGAAGAAACTGGAACTCAGATGGGTGTGGGAAGTCAGGTAGAAATAGCCAAGGAGGTGGCGACCCCAAGGGATAACGCCTTGGGCGCAGAGTGTTAGTAAAGAGGATGGAAAGGGATCTTTATTTCCCAAAGGGTGAAGAAAGCCAAGTCCAAATTTAAGGATTCTCAGCGCTGATTAAGTAGGCAAAACTTCTAAGGGTGCTTCAGGAGTTGGGGAAGGGCACACAAAATAGGCGTTTTAAACCTCCGGGGCAGGATTTCCAATGCAGAGTGAAGAGAAACTTGTTCCTGAATGGGAAGAGTGGGGAGGTGCAGAACAAGAACATGGGAACGCGTCAGTTTCTTCCTGGCTGGAGAGGTGGTGGCAGGAGGGGGCTCCCTGCAGCTACAACCCCAACACTGCTTGGCCGCACAGAAAATGCCCGGGTCAGGAAGCCGGCTGGGGTGTGTGATGACCACCGTTCTCCGGCCTCTGTCCTGAAAATGAAGGGGGCCCGAGGCCGTGGAAGATCCGGAGCCCGGCTAGAAGGGCTCGGCTTGAGAGAAGCCAGTCCCGCCCCTGCGGGACTCGCGCCCCGCTGTCTGGGCCTGGGGACGCGGTGCCGCGGGCGACCGCAAGCGCTCCCGCCCGGAGTTTGAGGTCTTCTGCAGGGGCAACTCTCAGCCACTCACACGCGCAGACACCACTCCAGCCGCGACTCCGGCCCCTGCTCCGGCTCCGGCCGCGGTCGCGGCTGCTCCCGACAAGTTGTTTTTGGTGGCGGTGGCGGAGGCGGCGGCGGCCGCGGGCTCCAGACCCGGGCCATCTCTCCTGCCCCAGATCACTTCCCCTTTTGGCAGCGGCCGCCGGCACCGCCTGCCAGTAAGCTGCGCCCTCATTGGTCACTCGCTGGGGTGACGTCACGCCGGGGCGCAAGTCGGGGCAGAGACGTTGGGCATTAAAGGGACCTTTCCCTGGAGAGGGTTAGGTCGCACCTGCGGGTTAGGGTGGCTCCACCCCCCACCCCAGGGGGGGCCACCGGGACCTGCTGCTCACCTGAGCCGGGTGGAGTCCTGCATCCAGCGGAACGCGGGCGGGGCAGGCAAAGCGCCCAGCTGCTCGACCTACTTCGAAAGTTCATCGGCCGCCCAGGCCCCCAGGTGTGAACTGTACTAACCAAGCCTGAGGCTCCGCCTCTCTGACTCACACACCGGCTGTTTATTAAAAGTTTAGGCGCGCTTCACATTAATGAACACATTCATTCAATTAATAATTATTTATTGAGAGCTTACTTACTACGTGTCAGGAGCTGTTCTAGCGCGGGGGATACAGCCGTGAACAAAATAACCAGGGTCCTTGTCTTCCTGTATAGCGTAGCCAGATTTAGCAAATAAAAATGTAGGACACCCAGTAAAGTTTGAATTTCAGATAAACAGTAAACAATTTTTTAGCGCTAAGACATCCCATGCAACATCTGGGACATCCTCATACTAAAAAATTATTCGTTGTGTATGTGAAATTCAAGTTTAACTGAGCATCCTGTATCTTATCTGCCAGTCTATTCCTGCAGTTCATACTCCAGTGGGAGGAGAGCAACAGTAGGCAAACACATTACATGTCAGGAGGTGATAAGTGTTATGAGGAAAATTGAAACATGGTCAGGTGATGGGGAGTGCCTCTGTGAAAAGGGAACATATAGTCAGATTATCAGAGGAGGGAAGGGAATGAGCTGTGCAGTGGCAGGAAGGAGTGACCAGGCAGATCTGGTGTGGCTGCACCAGAAGAGCAAGGAGCAGAGTGGTAGAAAATGAGGTCAGAGAAACATCAGAGGCCAGAGCTTTAGGGCCTACCTTATGGATCACGGAAAGGACTTTGGGAAAGTACTGGGAGCGTTAAGCTGAGATGCGGCATACTCTGTCTTTTTCGTTTATTAAAAAAAAAAAATCACTGGGCGGGCGCAGTGACTCACACCTGTAATACTAGCACTTTGGAGGGCCGAGGCAGATGGAGCATGAGGTCAGGAGATGGAGACCATCCTGGCCAACGTGATGAAACCTCATCTCTATTAAAAATACAAAAATTAGCTGTGCGTGGTGGTGTGCACTTGTAATCCCAGCTGCTTGGTAGGCTGAAGCAGGAGAAATGCTTGAACCTGGTAGGTGAAGGTTGCAGCGAGTTGAGATCGCGCCACTGAACTCCAGCCACTGCACTCCAGCCTGGGCGACAGAGCGAGACTGTCTAAAAAAAAAAATCACTTTGGCTACCTTGTAGAAAAAGATAGGGGAGAGTGAGGAACACAGGAGAGCAGTTTGTTACAGTCAAGCTAGAGATGATGCTGATAGGTTAGAGAGGCAGTAGCGGAAATGGAGAGCATTCTGGATGTTTCTTGAAAATAGAGCTGACAATTTTTTGCTGATAGATTAGAGGAAAGGTGTGAAGAGATGAGACATCATGGATAACTGCAGGGTTTGGAGGTGGAAAAACTGGAAGCAGAGAATTGCTATCTTTTGAGATGGGGAAGACCAGGTTTGGGACATGCTTGAGAAGCCAATTCAATGTTACATGTAAAATTTTTCTTTTTGGTGCTGCAAAGAAAAATTAGTACTGGGACAAAGGATCTCTTAGTGAAGCAATTTTTTTTTTTTTCACTTTCTGCAGAAAGGGTACTCCCATTAACAATCTTGTCAGGAGGGTACAATGAACAAAGGAAAGCAGACATACTTATTTCTTATGGATTTGGGTTTGTTCTTACTGCTGTGTCTGATCTCCATTGGCTGGAGCCAGACCTCACAATTTAAACTAAAATCTGATTGGCTAATAACTTGAAACTTTTTAAAACAGGTAAAAGCAATGGAACATACCTGTGAGCGAGTCCAGCACAGATATATTGGTTAAAGCACAAGGACATAGAATGTACTTGTGCCTGTTAGCATGTCTAACAGCTACATAGGATAGGGCTTCTAGCAGAAAAAGCAAGAACGCTTTTGAAGAAAGTGTTTAAAACAAACTATTATTTCTAACACATCAATTTTTCTTAAACAAGAAAGGAAACTTTGAAGAGGAACTTTTCTATTTCCCACAATTTTCCTCCTCTTTTACTTTATGGTTCCTCTTCAAACTTGTTTAACATATCTTGACTCAACTGTTCTGTTTGACTTTCTACAAGAAGTAACTTTTCTGAATAAGTTTGGGGAGGGTTTGAGGAGATTTTAGTAAGTTCTGTGTTTACCAGTCTTTGTACTAGCCCTTGGATTCACGCTATAATACAGGACCCAGCAAGAAGGAGTATACTTATTACAGTTGCTAAAGAAGTAAGAATTGAGGCTATGGGATCTTTCCATTGCCCAAACCAACTTTAGAGCCAATTTGAAATAGAGTTGTTAATGCCGGAATTTTTTGCTAACTCGTATGATAAGGCAGTAAGCCCTTGGAGGGCTTTTGTTATGCTTCCATCGGGAGCAGTGTTGTTTGGGATAAAGGTGCAACACTGAGTTTTGATCATAACACAAACACCACCTTTTTCTGCTAATATCATATCTAAAGCTATGCTGCTCTCCCAGGCCATTTGACTAGCGGAGTTCAGCTATTCCTTTAACAGCATCTTTGTATCAGTAGATGAAACAAATCGCTGCTGGCTGTAATAATTGTAGTTTATCAAATCTACATTTTTATTAATTGTTGCCCACCAAAACAACATTGACTCAAATCCTGAAGTATTTGATTCCTGGCTTTAAATTTTTCTGGTACTCTTCAAGGAACTCCAATGGCATCTAAATAGATATGGGAATCAAAAGACCCATAAGGGGCTGCTGCTTTTGAGGCTTCTCTTATTTGTCTATGTTGTATTTTCTCTATTTCTGGTTAATCAGATGGCAGGGTAAAAGGGATAGCCAGTCGAACTAGAGCACAAGTACTGCTCCAATTGTTTGGCAGCATGACCAGTAAAGTCCTCCATAATACTGCCATACCTCCGCTTGGGGATGAATAAGGGCAGACTGATGGGTCAGCTGTTGGAAGTGCCTGACTTCACTGCATCCTGTTTAGTTTCCAAGAAACACTAAGTTCTCCCCTTGTCGTGAGAGATGTGAGGCGAACTTTGCTTTGGGAGATGGAGTCTGTATGGCCCTTGGGGGTTGACCCGCAGGGTGCGGAACTTCAGAAAATAGCAGAGAAAGAGCTTGGCACAATTCATTATCCCAGGTGGTGGAATCTTGAAAAAGAGCTACCATGCACTCCATATCTGCTTAATTTGAGGACCATTCTAGTGGAAAGGGAACAATCTGGCCCTCTGGCCTACTGTGTGCACAAGTCTAACAGTTGCTTTTATTTAAAACGCGGACAGAATATTTAATCCATTCGAGCCAGGCATTTGCATCTTGGTATCCTGTTTTGGTAGCTATGGTCTGTCTTAGGTCTTTTATTTCCACATTCAAATAGAGGCTGTTTGGTATAGTCATTGAGAGTTCTCTGGGCACAGGTTGGGGCCTGAAATATCAATTGGGAAGTCATCAGATAAAAATTGAATGTAAAGCAAAGTGCTTTGAGCTACTTGGAAGAAAGTCACTTAAGGTAATTTTTATGCCCATATTCTTATTGTGGCAATTACACTGTCCTTGTCTAAGGATACTCTGGTTAAGCCTGGGCCTGTATTTGATTTGTTTTTAAGAGTCTAGCTCAGAGGTATGCTCCTAAATAACAATGACCCAGTAAACATGTGATGACTACATACGTGGGCAGTGTTGCAGAGAGGTATGGGTGGAATTTTCGAGTAGCAATCAAGAAACCTGTGACTCAATCATGCCTCCACTCCTTCCTGGGTCCATCAGCATGGAAGCTATTTAGTTTCTCTGAGCTTCAGTTTTCTTCTCTGTAAAATGGGGATAAACACCTATTTCACAGGGCAATGAGATGATTGCTAAAGTGTTTTTGAAGCCCCAAGTCCTGGTGTAATTGTTTTGTTTTTATTGTCCCCTTTTGTTTCCAGAGCTGCATTTCCCAGTACAATAGCCACTGGCCACATGTGGCAATTTAAATCTACATTTAACATAATTAAAACAAAATAAAAATTTTAAATTAGTTCCTCGGTATCATTGTCCGCTGTGTCCAGTGGCCATATGTGACTAATGGCTATCAGGCAGCACGGAATAGTACAATTCCACCCCACAGAAAGTTTTATTGGAGAGTTCTTCACTAGTGCTTCCGTGAAGGAATGGGGATAGATAGGTGAGTCTCCTGACTTCAGGAACCGTTTCACAAACACATCCTGTGGTCACCAGAAGCCCCAGGCAGGAGAGGTGGCTGGCCCGAGGGTGGGGTGGCCCTCCTGTGTTGTAGACAATACATTCTTTCCCAGGGAGCTAGGGACTGAGGAACCCAGGGGAGTGGAGCGGGGCTAAGGACATACCACCCCAGCTGCAGGGACCTCTGGTCAGCCATACCCTGTGCTCTCTGCAGGTGGAGGTCTCTCCCAGGACTGGCCAGTGGGATGGTCATGGGTGGGGCGGCTGCAAGAGTAGAACTGACAAACAAGGGGATGCTTCTGCTGGATCTGCTCTCGGTCCTTCTGTCTGCCTGTTTGCTTATGATCTGTAGATAACCCCCTTCCTGTGTTGGGTAAACATCACACAGGATGCGATTACCCATTGAAAGTTACTGGCCAGGTGTTTCTCTTCCATCAAGAGCTCTTGGATACCTCTCTGGCCTCCTTCCTAAGACTTGGGACCCTCAAGGCCAGGGATTAAGCCACTCCACTCAGAGCAGAGGCTTTTGCTGCCCTGCCGCACCAGGACTCACAAGGTTGTGATCTATCTTCTCCTTTGGGAATGTTCATATTATGATCCTGGGGAGTCCTTTTAACCTATTCAAAACTTGCCTGAAATGCAATGTGAACT